TGATTTTTCTACTCTCTAGCTCTCTAGCTCTCTAAGCTCTCAAAGCTTTTCAGCTCGCATCAATTTACTGACTTAAGCATCGGAGCGACCTCGCCGTGTTAGTCACCCCGGGTCCTCTGACATTGATTCCTTGCAGGTTTCTCTAAAGAACTACATAGTTCAACAATCAATCCAGCTCGTCACCATTCAGTCAGGCATCCGAGTCACCTCTCCAGCTCACCACTAGTCAGCTTGGCCTAGTTAGCTCGACACCTTATCTGCCCCCAACTCGGCCTAATCAGCTTGGCACCTGATTTGCCTCCAGCTCAGCCTAGTTAGCTCGGCATCCAGGTCCTCTTCCAGCAAAAGTTCTCCACTTCGGCCTCTGTGTCATCGACTACTTGGAAGCAGATCAAATGACGAGATACTCAGCAGAAAAAATTGATACATCAATTTGCGCTGTCTGTGGGAAACACAACAAGAAGCTAAGTTCTCATCTTCTGAAAGGCCAAGTCCTCTTCTTCCAGAAAGCTATGTTCTCACCTTTTACAAACTAAAGCTCTCACTTTCTAATTTCCATCTTTTATGAACTCAAAGGCACCTTTGACCAGTATCAATACTCATAACATATACCAATTATTAGGGGGAAAAAACATCAACACCCAGCTCGATGTATTCATGTCAATGCAGAACAGGTAGCAGCAGAATGACATTGTGACAACTAGCAGTCCGGCGACAGGCACCTCGGTGTAAGGCTGTCCTTGTAGGTTGAGCCAATCATAGTTCTTGCAGGAAGTTGATGGCCAACAGACTAAGCACCTCTGCCGACTTTATTTCAAGTTGGATAAAACCTCATCAATCCTCTTCGTGAGGTACCCTCTACAAGATGAGCTCTTCATGGCTTCCGCGGGAGTTGGCGGCCAACGGATTGCATGGATGCCCTTGCTGGTCAAGCCTTCCAAAGCTCCTATGCGAGCTGGTGACCTAAAGTCAATAGTGCTGCCCCCACTAGGTCGAGCTCCCAATAGCTTCTTGTAGGAGTAGGTGACCGGCGTCACTAACGAGGCTGATGCAGCACAACTGTAGCTCTAAGGTGCCGAGCTAGTAAAAGACCTCGACACCACATAAGACCCAGTTACCTCTTCGGCATGGGCAAAATCAAGGGTAAGGAGAGTGGATTGTGAGTCGCTCCCAGAGCCTAAGGGCTAAAGTGCCGAACTGGTAAAAGACCTCGGCGCCACATAAGACCCAATTGCCTCTTCGGCATGGGCAAAATCAAGGATAAGGAAAGTGGACTGCGAGTCGCTCCCAAGGCCTAAGGGCTAAGGTGCCGAGCTGATTAAAGACCTTGGCACCACGTGAGACCCAGTTGCCTCTTTTGCGTGGACGAAATATAAAGCAGTTCGCATTCAGCATGAGAAAACAAAGGAAAGACTAGTTCGCTCTCAGCACCATGATGGGTGCAAACTTGATTTCTTCATAGCCGACCTCCACCTCGTTTGCAGGCTCCACATCAAACTCACTGGTTGGGACCAGCTCGAAGGATGTTGCATCGAAGTCTATCTAGGTGGAGCAACCTGATAAAGCAGTCACACAGAACCCCCTCTTAAGGACGGCATGATGAGCTTCACTCTTGAGGTACTTAGCCAGATCGCAGAACCTCTTGATGGTCACATCCCTAATAAGGTAGATGTACTCGGGATACTTGCTCCACTTCTCCTTGAGCAGATGAATTCGCTCTCGGGCCCCGAAAATAAAGATGGCGAGGTCCTGTACAAGGCTGCAAACACTTGGACTCTTCCGACCTGAGAAGCAAATTGAATCAACACTTACGAGCTCATCGAATTAGTCATTCAAGGCCAAAAGGAGCAATCTACTCCCTTCGCTGAGTTACTTTCAGCTCGGGAGTGGGGGCAATTGATGAGGGCGGATTTAGCCCTCGAATAACATTGTGACACATGGCATCTCGGAACAACTGGGTGACACCCGGAACCACTTAGGCAACAACTTGCCTTAGCCAAGATGATGGTGTCCTAGCTGGCGACCTGGCATTGACGCCAACCTGGCGACTTGCCTTCACTGTCGACCTGGCGACCTGCCTTTATGCCGACCTAGCGACCTCAACCACAACTCAGGTCGGCTAGAAGCACCTCGTCTAGGGCCGACCTGCAACACCTTGTCACTGGCCGGAGTGACCTCGATGCAAGGAGCGACTTCCTTCGAGGGCGTGTCAGCCTGACTGAGGTCTAGGTGGTGACCTGCAAGACATTCTCGCCGACAAATTTGGCATGCATATCCCAACACTCCCACGAACATTCCGGAGGATGGTCAACGTGCATGGCGGTTGCCTCTGGGTGTCTCGGACCACATAGGCGACCTCTCGAAAATCTCGGATGCGTTGCGTGAAGCCCATGCCAAACAATGCCTATATAAAGGCACCAACCCCAATGACACAAGGTACGCGTGATTTTTCTACTCTCTAGTTCTCTAGCTCTCTAAGCTCTCAAAGCTTTTCAGCTCGCATTAGTTTACTGACTTAAGCATCGGAGCGATCTCGCTGGGTTAGTCACCGTGGGTCCTCTGACATTGATTCCTTGCAGGTTTCTCTAAAGAACTACATAGCTGAACAATCAATCCAGCTCATCACCATTCAGTCAGACATCAGAGTCACCTCTCCAGCTAGCTACCAGTCAGCTCGGCCTAGTTAGCTCAGCACCTAATCTGCCCCCAGCTCGGTCTAGTTAGCTCGACACTTGATCTGCCTCCAGCTCAGCCTAGTTAGATCAACATCCAGATCTTCATCCAGCAAAAATTCTCCACTTCTACCTCTGAGTAATCGACTACTTGGAAGTAGACCGAATGATGAGATACTTAGCACAAAAAATTGGTACATCAACCGGTAACATCAGTTGAAACTTCGAATGTCCGAAGGGTCCTATAAGCACTACATCGGAGGAATATCCAAAGAAAAACTCGAACCCCAAAGACATAAATATTCAGTTCCCAAGCCAAGTGTAAAATCGAATCAAAGCCTAAATGGAACAACTATGGAGTGAAGCCATAACATAGAACCCAAAAAAAAAGTAGACTAACCCATCGATTTAGAGTAGCTTCGAATCCACCAGATATGAAATTAGAACGAAACTCCGACAGTTCATTGCCCAAGATGGCTTCTTTTTTCCACGGAAAAGAAACCTTCATCACCATCATTGCTTCTGAAAGCTGATGTATTAACCAAATCCGTCATAATTCTTGGCCCTCTTCTATTATGGATAAATCCAACAAAATGGAATGGTTTTGCAGAGGAAAATTGGACGAGCGAAAAGGATTTTGAACATTTAGGACGACAAGGAAAATAAGGGGAGAATCTGAAAACGGGTCTGCATGAAATGGCACTCACAGACATTTTTCTGCACAAGTGGACTGACAAAGAAAACTGGGGAGAGGAACGAGGAAGAACAGGAGAAAAGCGAGAGTAGCATTTTGGTGATGGGGCAAAAGTCGATGCGTGGCAGGTCTAAAACCGTAAATCATTTTGCCTTGAAAGTATCGTTTTGGATGTATTATCCCACCACGACGTGGGGCCACAGCTAGCATATTGGACAGAATTTACTCCTCACATCAACCGCACAGCATACTAATGTGTTGTCCCACTATTCTCAAACAGGGCCTTAAGTCATATATCTGTACATACCTTACAGACACATCCCACCATATATCAGAACAACATCTCCCGTATTTATACGTGAATTGGCATTAATTCCAAACTGGAATGTACTCCATAATACTTTGAACCTATAAATTTTGACCCTAAGCTGATCAGTCATTTTCTCTATTATTATTCCCACATGGTGGGATGTGCTGTGAGGTCATTGTGAGTCGTGCTCTTTGTGAGGAGTACATTCGGCCTCAAAACATGGGTACTATGTACTGCATACCATCGTGTAAAAAAATGTTAGGAGAAGTATGGATTTATCCAATGCAGATTTCTAATTTACAATGCAGTGCTATAAACATTCAAAAGAACCATAACCCACATTCTATGCATAAATGCATTAGCATCAATTCCAAACTAATACCTACCCCAACAGTACTTTAAACCTACAAATTGCCACCAGCCACCAGCTAAAAAATAAAAACATGGGGGGGAGGGGAAGCTGACCATTTAGACATTGAATCACCTCAATGACGATTAGAGACTCCATGAAATTTGTTGCTAGATTATCATGCTGCACAAACTTTTGCATTTATTGTGGTGGTATCCAAAGAAAAGTCTATAGTCCAAAATTCTGCCAAGATGGTTTCTAGCTATTATCGCCACTGGGCACCAACACCATTCTTTGAACGGGAGGCGTCAAATTTGATTTCAACAACGCCCGAATCAGGGGTTGCTATCTAATGAGATTCCAATACTTATATAGGAGTGAACTTTTCTAAGTATAAGTTGCTGCCGAGCTAGTGAGCTTGACACTATTAAGAGCGATATAATTACCGTTGCATGTTAAGACGATTAAACACTATAGGGTACATACCCGAACTGTCTATGCCTAGGTCGCTTACTTGTCTAAGTGTTAGTTATCCCTAAGTGCCGAGCTAACGAGCTCAGCTCCATGCGGGATTAATCTTATGTTGTTGTACGCCGAGGTGACTTAGACACCGTAGGGTTTGTACCTGAGCTATCTATGCCTCATAGGCGACTAAGACTTGTCTACCTATGCCGAGGAGGTGACTAGGACTTGTCTGCCTATGTCGAGGAGGCGAATAGGACTTGTTTGCCTATGCCGAGGAGGCCACTAAGACTTGTCTCGGTGCCGAGGTCTTCTGTCAGCTCGGCACCGTAGCTCGTAGCCTTCTGGGAGTGACTCACAGTCCTCTCTCCAGTCCGTCATCTTTGGGTTGCAAGTTCACGAATAATACCTTCTTAGGTTATCAATGTTCCATGCTCGTGGTACCTACTTCCTTTCTAAGGTTTCAAGCTCATACGTACCTTCCCCGAATACCCGTTTGACTCGATACAGTCCTTTTCAGTTCGGTCCGAGCTTGCCAACGCCAGGCTCTGGTACCATAACCTTCCAAAAAACCAGGTCGACGACATGAAAGTGTCGTTTTCTGACCCGGGCGTTATAGTGTCGAGCTACTATTTGTTGGTAAGCTATGGTTCGAATGTAAGCCAGGTCTTGTATCTCTTCTATTAGGTCCAAGTTGGTACGGAGCTTGTCATCGTTTGTCTCCTTATCGTAAGCCTCCAACCGTAGTGTGGGTACCTCGATTTCCATCAGGATTACCGCTTCTGTGCCATACGTGAGGTTGAAAGGGGTTTCACCTATGGCGGTCTTAATGGTAGTTCGGTAGGCCCAAAGGACACTGGGTAGTTCATCCACACACAACCCCTTGGCTCGAGCTAAGCGAGCTTTCAGTCCGTGAAGTATCGCTCTGTTAGTGACCTCTGCTTGCCCATTCTGTTAGATCCCCATTTTGGAGCACCAGTTTTGGAATTTAATATCTTCAAATTGTTTCCCATTGTCGGATATCAACACTCGAGGTAGTCCGAAGTGACATACTATGTTTTTTCAAAAGAAGTTCTGTACATTGCGGGCCGTGATCGTCACCAAGGGTTAAGCTTCCACCCACTTCGTGAAGTAATCTACTACTACAACCAAGAACCTCCTCTGCCCTGTTGCTGGGGGGAAAGGGTCGAGGATGTCGATTCACCATTATGCAAAGGGCCATGGGCTAGTGAGGTATTTCAGATCGGCGGTAGGTTGATGGTGAACGTTGTCATGCCTCTGGCACCTATCACAATTTTTGACGAGCTTGAGTGCATCTGCCTTCATCGTGAGCTAGTAATAGCCTTGCCTTAATGCTTTCTGTATGAGAGCTCTACCCGCAAGTGTCTGCCGCACAAGCCTTCATGGATGTCACGAAGTACATGCTCAGCTTCTGGAGGTCGCAAGCAGCGCAGGTAAGGGAGCGTGAATAACCTCATGTACAATTGTCCGTCTACGAGGACGTACTTATTTGACTGGCGCTCCACCCTTCGGGCTGCGTTATGTTCTGCAGATAGGGTCCCGTGGAGTAGATAACTCATGAGCAGGTCAATCCAGCTCGGTTCCGCTTGTGATACGGGAGCGACCTCTCCTGCTCCCCCGAGAATGCTGAGCCGAGGTAGATCCTCTTTGTACACAATTCGCATAGATTTGCTGCTCATGCTGGCTAGTCGTGATAAGGCGTCAACCTCGGCATTCTTGGACCTCAGAATCTATCTGATAAAGTAGGAGATGGAGCTGCGCAGAATCTCTCTGATTTTGGCCAAATAGGTTGCCATAGTAGGGTCATGGACTTCGTACTAAGCAGTGACTTGGTTAACCACCAATTGTGAGTCACTGCACACAATGAGGTGCTTGGCCTTCATTTCTTTTGCTATGGTTAACCCGACGACCAACGCTTTGTATTCCGCCTCGTTGTTGGATGCCTCGAATCCGAACTGGAGAGCATATTCCAGTTTCACCCCGCTTGGGCCATATAGTATCAGTACTGCGTCACTCCCCTATTGATTGGACGAGCCGTTGATGTGGAGGATCCAGGGCTCCTCGTCCCAGGTCGGTTTTGCTCTGACCGAGACCGGTTCGCTGTGCTGGACGTGCATTTTGCTACAAAATCAGCCATGACTTGAGCTTTGATTGCTGGATGAAGCTCATATTGGATATCGTACTCGTTGAATTCGATGGTGAAGGGATGAGAGATCCATCATATGGATGGTCGAACCCTGTAGGAAGGTAGGGGGAAATTTCAAAAATTTCTCTCTCTCCCATGTGGGAATCACATTCCCTGTTTTAGAAAAATTGCATTTTTCAATGATCAATCTTGAACCAAGAACCGAACCAGATCTGAACCAAAAAGCAGGAGAGGGATATACCTAATACGAAGAAATAATATCTCTCAATGAAGGTGTTCACGCCCAAAGAAAATCTCCAAAGACTGCTCCCACTGAAGATGACACAGTGTAGGGTGGAGCAGAATCAACAGTGTTCTTCCCAAGAATCGAACCCTTCACAAGAATTCGATGGAGGCAGTGAGCACAACTTCGAATCAGTCTTTCTCCAAAGATTGATATCAAGATCTGATCTTGATCACTCCTAGAAAACTGGAGAACGAAGTGGCAGTATGGCGGCGGTAGGAGGAGAACGTAGGGAGAAGGCACAGTCACACTGTATTTGACTTCTCTCTGTGCTCTGAGATTTTTGGGATGGGATGAATGGTTCTTCCCCCTCCTCCTTTTATAGCCTTAAAGAAAGCTTCTAATCTCATTAGGAGTTTCTTATTCCAAATCTGTATTTGGATTAGGAGTCTTCTTTAAGAGATAAGGATAAGCCCTTATCTTATCTGCATATTAGATCAGCTCTCTCCTAATCTTATTAGGAGGTTTCCAGATCTGACTGGACTCTCTGAGTGGATAGGGTAAGACCCTATCCTATCTCCTGATTTAATCCTAGATCTGCCCCTTTATTTAACTGATCATATCAGCCCAGTTCGAAATGGGTTTTTAGGCCCATGAAGTCTAAGTGCTCGAACTGCTTCCAAATTGCTGCCCAGTTGGGCTTCTTTGTATGGCGTGGGACCCAAACATTGGTCTACACATCAGCCACATGGGTTCAGCCCAGCCTCTGTTACAAGGCCTGGCCAAATACACTGAAAAGACAGTGAACCCCCATGAAGCCCATCATATGGAATCCTAATGGGCCCAACACTTACACTAAGTAGTCCCTAGGCCAAGCCACCTTATAAAAACCCAGGGACTGTGGGCAGATGCAAGATTAGCCCATCAGGTATTACCCTCAATGGTCTTACACTTAACCTCTCAGCCCATAATGATCATACACTGCCCGACAAGAGAAGACATCTCCCTCGGCTGCAAGGAACAGTGTTGCACTCTCTACTCACATGGATCTCGGGAATTAAAACCTTTTGCAAACATTTGAAACCATATAATATATATATTTATATCCGTATATACAATATATTTTGCAAAACAAATTTCAACGATTGAAATCAGTTGCCGGCAGTCTTGGTTTCCATCAGAGAGAGTGCATCCCCGATCATTATCTTTGTCCGAAAAAGGGGCTGATCCTGTCACTATGATCACCCACTCAGATGAATTCTCGGACTGTCCCAACATACCTAGGTTTTGACCCCCGCTAAGGATCTCACCGATTGGCATATCAAAGACAGCCCGATCCGACACCTAGTGCAATATCATAATC